TCTAGAATGTAAGCAGTGTTTCGCCAGAACAGACCAACCAAACACTGGCTCGGTGTTAAGTTGCATGCAGTTATGCAGTAAGTTAGTCATTAAATATGTTCTTATAGTGTCTCTTCGTTCAATGGAGAGAAGCAAAATAAATGTGTAAGAATAAATGTTCACAACAATTTATTGTGTTTTTGTGTTTATTTGAATTTAACATGTTACAGGTTATTAATGGGTTAGCATTACCATTACCATTACCATTGAAAATGTCAAATTTACAGTATTTTACAATAGGTTTTAAGTGTACATTAAAAGCACATTACTGGCAAGTAATTTGCATTACAGCAGAATACTGTTAAATTGCAGTAATCTGGTGACATTAACTGTAACTTCACAGATAAATACAGTAGTTCTACAGGAGCATACTGCTAAATCACAGTAATCTGATATACAACAACTGTAACTTAACAGTTAAATACAGTAATTCTACAGGAGCATACTTCTAAATCATAGTAATCTGATATACATCAACTGTAACTTCACAGCTAAATACAGCAATTCTGTGGGAGAATACTGTAGCGAATCGGCTCATGGGGAAATATGAATAATTAATCATAACTAGTTATAATTAATTATAAATATTTAGATCCGCTGTAGATATTTACTTGACCTCTCAGGGTCAACTGTCTGTCAATTCTAAGAACGTTAATTTCCTGGTTAAGGGAAATAACTTTCTTACTGTACAATTCTACAAAGAGCTTGTAGCATAAATCTGCATGATTAAGGGACTCCAGTTATGAGCAAACAATGAACAACATCAAGTGTGATACAAGTAAGACTCTGCTAAATCACAGTAATACGATGGAATCTTACACAGTAAATTACTGTGAAAGTAATGTAGCTCGTTCACAGTAATTTACTGTAAATTTACAAACAGTAATTTACTGTGAAAGTAATGCAACTAGTAGCCAGTAATTTACTGTGAATTTACAGTCAAATAATTTACAGTGTGGTAATACAATATTTGTGAACACAACTGTGTATGTCAGACCAAAAACTATGCATGGGGGCTTGCTTTGGTATTGCCACCCCTCATAGATCCCATGCCACGCCTTTGCCACCCTAATAATTATTTTCTAGATCCGCCCCTGTTTGGACGGCAATTGCAGGGAGGGTGGGATGTTCGCTTTCATTGCTATCAGGCTAACATTAGCATTTTCCAAGATCTCCTACTGCACCTTTAAATTGCGATGATTGGTCTCTGTCCCAAACAAAAGATAAGAAAGAGAAAGAAGCTGAGAAAATTTGAGATATAATACTAAATAATAATTCAGTCTACAAAAATGCAGTTTTACTTCGTCTAAATTAAACATGTAAATACGACAATCAATTACAAGTTAATTTTAAAGAAAATTACGTGATTATTTATTTATTTATTTTTAAATGCATATAGCTTTGTGAGAAAATATTTACTTTTAAATGTTTGCCTTTAAACATCTTTCTATGCGTTTCTCACTACTGGTGCATTTTTTGCACACTGTAAGGCAAACATATTTTCTGAAAAACTGATTTCATTTAAATACAATTTAAATAAAAGGTTCAAATATACATCAATCATTACTTCAATAGCTGGCAAAACAAACGTTAAATTGCAGATTCAGTTTTTTTTTAGATCGCTAGAGGGAGACATTTTGTTAATCCTAATCTCAGCACATGAATGTCTGCACAGCACCGTGTATGGTAAGAATTCATGATGTAGTCCAGCCTTGATCAACCCGTTTGTTATCAATTGTCGGTGTATTTACGTTTTGAATTGAATATGTAGTCACTATATTTTTATTTATTCTTCGTGTCTGTGTCTAATTCCATTTAAACGAGTTGCTCTTATAAATATACATCGTTGTTTAAGATAATTCAGTTCTAGAGCACAGATTGGACAATAGCGTCTACACTGGACACCTAAATCTGTGTTTATACCATTGACTGGGTTTATACACTTTTAAGCGGCATCAGTTTCTATCGTTAGCCTATATTTATGTAGGTTAGAATTTTTGTACATGGTAGATTGAAAAAAAATAAAAACGAAGCCAATGTGATGTCATATAACAGTAGCAGCACTTTAACATTCATGAGCTCATTAGACAGGGGCATGTCTATGCTGTTTCCTGACATATATTCAAATGGAGCTGTATCAGATTCAGTCCAGCACACACTATCTAGACAACCATCCATGTATTTATCCACATAAACTCTCCAGTTTAAGACGCTAGAGGACCTACTGCGTCATGTTGAGAAAGAATTGAGCCGGGACGTCCCAACTTAAACCAGACGATCCCCTGATAAAAATGGGTAAGACATTATTATTATTATTATTATTATTATTATTTAGGTTTCACACAGACAGTTATACATATTTGTGTGGGCTCTATGGGCAGTTCTCATTTCACTGATCATTTGGTCATGGTTAATGAAAATGGCTCTTTTTATGACATTTATGGGTTGTTTTTTGTCCTTTGGCCTTGGCTTATATATAAGAATATATCTAGAATATATATATATCTATATATATACAGAGGTTAAATTGGGATTTGTTATGTATATATACAGTTCACACACACAAACTCACACGTTTTATAATTAAATTAAATATGATTTATTCTGAAGCAATATTCTCATTAGTTTTCTATCAGCTGTGACATAAATCTGCATGTTTTTTACTGATTGATCTAATCCATGGGCATTGTTTACCTTTATAGAGGGCATTTTCCCCCTAACCTCATTCATCTGTCATTTCAAATTCTTACATTTGATCTATAAATGCAATTATACTAATGTGATTGTTTTTATCTATACGTTATCCAATTAAATTATTTACACTGAAAAAACACAACTGGATTAAATAATGTTATGAGATTGTTTTAAATATTTTTTTGAATATACAATACAAACAAGAAATGGTGGAAATTATACTTTTAAACAAAATTAAAACGCCAGTAGGTGCCAGTAGTGAGCGTAATGACACTCACTACTGTTGTTCATTCAAACGATTTGTTCAAACGGCAGATTCATCAGATGTTTATGCATGGGCTAATGAAACTTTGACTAAACCGATTCGTTCAAAACACGGAATCAATCAGCAATGAATCGTCTGTTTGCTGTGAGATGCGCTGTGTCCGCCTAAAATGTAAGTGACCTAATATTATTGAACTTGCTTATTTAACTATTTATTGAACTATTAAACAGTTGTAATGATGAAAATGTTGTGTGATGTTACCTAACTAACTGTATTTTAAATATAAAAACTTTTCATTTTGAATTTTTACCTCAGGATGCTTGAGTTTCTTAGTGTTGCGCGTTTTGAGCCTCGCCTCAGCAGCGCAACCTTATTCCGTCAATAGATGCATTATATACAGTAGCTATATCCACTATTCGCCACTTACTCTAAATGTAATAAAATCAGAATAATACTTGCGTTATGGTGATTGGCTAGTTATTTTTGGTTATTGATGTTTTAATCAGGTTGTCTTGCGTTAATGAAGCGTTAATGTCGAGCCCTGGAGTCTGTTCCGGGGCTCAGCCCCGGACGGCCCCGGCCCAATTTAAACCCTGTATATATATATATATATATTCTAGATATACTACAATGTCTCGAATTGTTGTCCCATTGCCTGAAAGGAACTGTCTTATTATACCAGAGCTAAGCAGATATAATAGCCCTCATCCCCTGTGCTGTGTTACATTAGTGAATCCTCATAAAGAATAGCCTGTAGCAGATGAATTAAATGAAATACCCCTTTGTAATTCATTTCAAGAGGTTATTGGTCACTCCCTAGACTAAAGTGAGAGCTCAATGTTTCCCTTTCATTAACTAGACTGTGGCGGCCCGCCACAGTTTCATAATAAACCGAAGATGTTTATACTTCTCATATAACATAACATTTCTTTAACGTTGTGTCATGACTTCGGTCTGATCTGCTGTGTTTTGTCTTTTTCTGAGTCTGTGTGCTTGGTCTCTGAGCACATGGGTTTTGTTTTGACAGCTCACCATGTGCTCCGCTGTCTGTGTGGCGTTTTTCCCCTCCCACTCGTTATCCTTAATTCTCCTTTGTGTTTTCTGTCACACCTGTTGCCATTCATTCCTCATTAGTCCTCCCCTATTTTAGATCCTCTCGTGCTCAGTCTTCACGGATGACGCTAGGACCAGTCCCTGCTGAGAGGCTCTTTCCTGGTCCTGTGGACTTTGATTTGGGACTTCCTCTATTTTTGTGTTCCTGTTGATTTTTCCCTATTGCTCAGTGAGAGCGTAATAAACTTTTTCTGTTACCTGCAAACTGAATCTGTATTTTCCCTGACAGAACGGTCTGACCAGTGATGGATTCAGCAGGTGCAGACCAAGTCAGAGTCGCAGTAAGTCAGCAAGACATTCTTCTGGGACAGCATTCCAGTCAGTTAACTGCCACTTCAAGGGAGGTTGAGTGCCTGACAGCCCAAGTAGCAGCTCTCAATGTCCAAATACAGGTACTCCAGCGAGAGGCTTTGGCCAGCAGATCAGCTGCTACATTTGGTCATTCTCCATCTCATGCGGAGCCTGAACCCCATGCTAATAGTCCGCCACCATACGAGGGGGATCCCAATTCCTGCCGGGCCTTCCTGTCCCAGTGCTCTCTTGTCTTCGCACTCCAGCCTCGCCGCTATGCTACAGAGGAGTCCCAAGTAGCATTTATCACCCTCCTGAAAGGAAAGGCCCGGGACTGGGCAACGGCTGTGTGGGACGCTCATGCTCCATTCTGTGTCACATTCAAGGATTTCAGAGCTGAGATGATCAAGCTGTTTGACCGCTCTGCTCAGGGCGATGAGGCAGCCTCACAGTTGACGCGGTTGAGTCAGGGCAGACGTTCAGTTACGGATTACTCTATCCAGTTCAGAACTCTGGCGGCTGCCTGTGACTGGAACGGGGCGGCTTTACATGCAAGGTTTCGGGAGGGGTTGGATGACGACATCCAGGATGAGATCGTTACTCACGAGCTGCCTCATGATTTTGACACCCTTATGGAGCTGGCACTCCGTGTTGAGGGGCGTCTTCATCGTCGACGCCAGCGGTGGACAGCTCAATCCTCATGGATGTTGGAGGAGGGTGCCTCCAGTGCTGCTCCCACCTCCTCGTCTCCTTCAACAGACCCAGAGCCCATGCAAGTGGGGCGTCTTCACCTTACCCCTAAGGAGAAGCAGGATCGGTTGACTCTGGGACTTTGCCTGTACTGCGGGAAGCCAGGCCAATGGGCTATCCAGTGTCCTTTAAAAGCCGGAGCCTATCAGTAATCCGGGGGATCCTGGTGGGCGCTACTCCTTATCTCGACTCCCCCCATCTCACGTCCCCTGCTAAAAGTCTCTTTTCAGTATAAGGACACCTTCCATTCCTGTTCTGCACTGGTTGACTCGGGTCCCAAAGGCAAATTGTGCCTCCAGTGCTGCTCCCACCTCCTCGTCTCCTTTAACCGACCCAGAGCCCATGCAAGTGGGGCGTCTTCGCCTTACCCCTAAGGAGAAGCAGGATCGGTTGACTAGGGGACTTTGCCTGTACTGCGGGAAGCCAGGCCATCGGGCTATCCAGTGTCCTTTAAAAGCCGGAGCCCATCAGTAATCCGGGGGATCCTGGTGGGCGCTACTCCTTATCTCGACTCCCCCGTCTCACGTACCCTGCTCAAAGTCTCTGTTCAGTATAAGGACACCTTCCACTCCTGTTCTGCACTGGTTGACTCGGGTGCCGAAGGCAACTTCCTGGATGCCTCTGTTGCTGCATTGTGGGGTATTCCTGCCATTCCACTTCCCTCTCCTATCTCTGTCCGCTCCCTTAATGGTCTCCTCATCTCCTCCATCACCCATTCCACTCCTTCCGTAAGTCTTATTGTCTCTGGCAATCACCGTGAGGTGATTGAGCTGTACCTCCTAGATTCCCCGGGTGCTCCCGTTGTCCTAGGGCACCCGTGGCTGGTGCAGCACAACCCTCACGTGGATTGGTCTGGCAATTCTGTGTTCTCTTGGAGTCAGTCTTGTCTTGCGTCTTGTTTGGGTGCTGCCTTGTCTCCTGGCTCTGTGTCTTCTGTTTTTCAGGTTGAGGAGGTCGATCTCGCCGGGGTCCCGGAGGGGTACCGCGATCTTTGTCGGGTCTTCAGTAAGTCCCGGGCCACATCCTTACCACCTCATCGGCCGTATGACTGTGCCATCAATCTCCTCCCAGGCACTTCTCCGCCCAAGGGTCGTCTGTATTCCCTATCCGGTCCTGAGAGGGAGGCCATGGACAAGTATATTCAGGAATCCTTAAATGCCGGCCTCATCCGACCCTCTTCCTCACCCGCTGGGGCTGGGTTCTTCTTCGTTAAGAAGGATGGCTCCCTGCGACCCTGCATTGACTACCGGGGCCTTGATGACATCACTATAAGAAACAGGTATCCTCTGCCTTTGATGTTGTCAGCCTTTGAGTTGCTACAGGGAGTCAGGGTCTTTACCAAGCTAGACCTCCGTAATGCCTACTATTTGATCCGTATACGTGAGGGAGATGAGTGGAAGACAGCATTCGACACCCCAACGGGACACTTTGAATACCGGGGCCTACCCTTCGGGCTCACTAACGCCCCAGCTGTCTTCCAGGCCCTGGTGAACGATGTGTTGAGAGACATGGTGAACAGATTTGTCTTGTGTACCTTGATTATATTCTCATCTTCTCTCCCTCTTTGCAGGCCCACACTCAACATGTCCGTCAGGTGCTAAAACGGCTGCTGAAGAATCAGCTGTACGTCAAGGCGGAGAAGTGCGTGTTCCATGCCAAGTCTGTTTCGTTCTTGGGGCATATAATCTCGACGGAGGGGATCAAAGCTGATCCAGCTAAGGTAAGGGCCGTGGCTGAGTGGCCAACCCCTGACTCGCGGAAGGCGTTGCAGCGGTTCTTGGGGTTCGCCAACTTCTATAGGCGATTCATCCGGAACTTTAGCCTGGTTGCTGCACCCTTAACGGCACTCACCTCACCTAAGGTACCGTTCAGATGGAATGTACAGGCTCAGGAGGCCTTTGATGTTCTTAAGTCCCGTTTCATCTCTGCTCCTGTTCTTTGTCTCCCAGATCCTGAACGGCAATTCATTGTTGAGGTGGATGCCTCTGATGTCGGGGTAGGCGCAGTCCTGTCCCAGCGGTTCCCCAAAGATGGGAAGGTGCACCCCTGTGCCTTTTCTCACCGTCTGAGCCCTGCTGAGCGGAATTATGACATGGGTAACAGGGCAGTCAGGCTGGCTTTGGGGGAGTGGCGTCACTGGTTGGAGGGAGCAGCGTAGCCCTTCTTGGTCTGGACGGATCACAAGAATTTAGAGTACATCCGTTCGGCCAAGAGGTTGAATGCTCGCCAGGCCCGCTGGGCACTCTTTTTTTTGGGGGGGCGGTTTAACTTCTCCCTCTCGTATCGACCAGGCTCCAAAAATGTTAAGCCTGACGCCCTTTCTCGTTTGATCGAGGATCCTGGGGAGGAGGCGGGCCCCGAAACCATTCTCTCCAAGGAGGTGGTGGTAGGGTCCCTTTCCTGGGATGTCGAGCGGCGGGTGGGGGAGCCTGTGCGGTGAGGTCCCAAGGGGGTGTCCAGGGGGTCGGTTGATTGTGCCGGCTGCGCTGCGTCCTGAGGTCCTTCGGTGGGGTCATGAGTCCAGGGTAGCCTGTCATCCGGGGGTTCGGAGGTCGCTGGCTGCCATCCGTCAGCGATTTTGGTGGCCATCCATGGCCAAAGATGTCAGGCAGTTTGTGTTGGCTTGCTCAGTTTGCGCACAGAATAAGACGTCTAACCAGTCTCCTGTTGGTCTGTTACAGCCTTTACCCATTCCCTCTCGTCCATGGTCACATCTGGCCCTTGATTTCGTCACTGGTCTTCCCCTGTCGAGAGGTAACACCGTTATTCTGACGGCGGTGGACCGCTTCTCCAAGGCGGCCCATTTTATCCCCTTACCCAAACTCCCCTCCACCAAGGAGACAGCTCAGGTGGTCGTGGACCACGTCTTCCGGATTCATGGTCTTCCGGTTGATGTGGTCTCCGACAGAGGACCACAATTCGTCTCCCGGTTTTGGAAAGAGTTCTGTAGACAGATCGGGGCCTCTACGAGTCTGTCTTCAGGTTTTCACCCTCAGACCAACGGGCAGGCCGAGCGAGCCAACCAGGATCTCGAGCGAGCTCTCCGCTGCCTAGCATCACAGAGTCCGAGCTCCGAGAGTCAGCAGCTATCGTGGGTTGAATATTCCCACAACTCCCTCCCGGTGCCGTCTACGGGTATGTCTCCCTTTCAATGTTCTGTTGGTTATCAACCGCCTCTTTTCCCTGCGCAGGAACCCGAAGCCGCGGTCCCGTCTGCCTTGGCCTTGGCCCAACTTTGACGCTGCGTCACGGATGACGCTAGGATAAGAAACTTTTTCTGTTACCTGCAAACTGAATCTGTATTTTCCCTGACATGTTGTGTTTCACGCCATTGCTTTGGCAATTATCCGTCAATCGAATTAAAACTGAAAGCGTAATATGACTTATCAAGTCATATTACTTGATAAGTCATATTATCAAGGGAAAGGGGACCCCCCCCATTTTCTGATTCTTATGTTGCTCTGTTCTGAATACCTTAAAATTTAAAGGATTTGCTGCAACGCAATTTTGTCTGATATGTGAATTATTTATTAGCCTATTTTTTTTTTAATCCATGCAGCAAATGCTTTAAAAACAACTTTAAAAAAATTACTTTATTGTGTTCACCAGACGCTTTTAAAGTACTTTTCACTATAAATTTTACGGGTAGCTTGAATGTAAAACATTGCCATTCATTTTTTGTATTTCCATTTGTAAAATAGCCTACAAATTAATTGTTGTAGGCTAACCCGACCTCATGAAAGTGCATATAGCACGATTTTCTGGTTCTATTTGGCATAATATTTATATGCAGAAATTGACTTTGGCATGCAAAAGACTGATAAATTCATAATTAATGGCATGGCTGGTTTAGTCGACAGAAATACGGGACACACAGGCCTATAATAACTGCTGAAATGTTTGCAGGCAAATCTCAGATCAGTCTGAGCGCTCATGGTACTCACAGTACAGCCGAACACCTGCAGGCGCCAATGACTCGGACGGTTGTCGTGGTAATAAACACCGTAAACAGCAAACGTTCGCGTGTCCGCGCTTAATGCGCATATCCTATATGAAAAGCATTTTAGGGGGCCCTTGGCTTTTGGGGGCCCAAGGCGGTCGCCTACCTTTGCCTAATGGGTAAGTCCGCCCCTGTGTGTTGTAACATGGTGTGGTATATGGGCAACTCTGGTAACGCTGCCCTCTCATTCATTGATCTGC